TGTGTGTGTGTGTGTGTGTGTGTGTGTGTGTGTGTGTGTGTGTGTGTGTGTGAGAGAGAATGGGCCCATTTATGGAAGCCAGAGGCAGAGGTTGGGTGCCATCGACCTTGCTCTGCCTTGATTTCTTGAAGCAGCATCTCTCCTGAACCAGTTGTTTCTGTTTGTTTGTTTGTTTGTTTTTTCTCTGCTACAGTGGCAGTCAACAAACCCAGTGACCACATTTCCCCTTTATTATCCTTTGATAAAAAGCTTCTTCCATATATTCAAAGAATTGACAACACCATACAAAATAGAAACAGCAAATTTTGTGGATCTACAGGCCCCCTCTTACCGTTTAAAAACGTTCTCCTTAAACTTTTGTATCTATTTTACAAGAGAAACTTAGAGTATTCTAAGAACTATTCTCCAGTCAGACTGCTCCAGCCACTGTGGAAGGTGAGTGCTGTCGCAAAAAACCCAACCCTTTGCGACCACCACCACGAAACCCATTCACAGCAGCGCGCTGCTTTACGGCACTCGCCCCGCCCCCTGAAAGTACGGGGCGTGAGAAGCCGGCAAACATGGCGGCGCCCTGTTCCCTTGCTTTGCCTGTGGCTACCCTGACTGCCTTGGCGCTCTTGTCTCTCGGCAGCTCCGCGGCTAGTCACATCGAGGTAGGCATCGGACTCTGTTGGGGACTGACCTCCGGGAGGACTATGTGTCCTGGCTGTGAGAGCCTCAGATGGGGGATGAGCAACCGCTGAGGGAAGTCGCCTGCAGCGTCTGCCCTACCTGGGCTGGACTGTGGGTAGTTCTGAGGACTGATAGACGGGACAGCGACCTGATCCAGCCCTTGGAAAAATCCGGTTGAGTGCGAAGCCCTCAGTGAAGGAGGAGGATCCGATCCTCTCCTCCTGCTGTACGCAGCCCTTGGTAGTTAGCTCTCCGCCTGCTGACAGACAGGGCATGCTTAGGGACTGTCATGGCTTTGGTGTTTCGTTTCTCGACCCCGCCTTCGCCCTTCCTGAGGCCACAGGACACCTGGCTTCTTTCTGGTGCTTTTACCAGTGATCCTCCAACAAAGTGATTTGGGTTTTTGGCATTATTTTTAAACCTTCTTGTCCTGCCTGCTCAGGAACCCGGGGATGGTCAGCAGACATTTGAAAAACACTGTGCTAAGTTTTATCTCTCACCTAGATTTCAGTAGTCTCCTAACCACGCCTGGAGTTGTTCTGGTCCTTAGTCTGTTCTCTAAACTGTGGTAGAAACAAATTTTAAAATGGCAACCTGATCGTGTCACTCAAATGTATGTTAACATTGCTCTAAAGATAAAAATGAGTGTAATGACCGAGAGTGTCCCCTTGAAATCCCTTGCTCTCCCTTTTAAATGTCTAGGTATGTTGAACTTAAAGTTCCTCAAACCATTGGGACCTCTTCTGCCATTGGCCCAAATTTTCTTTGTCTGGAATTGTCTTTTACCTTTTTTTTTTTTTTTCCCTCTCATCTTTTAGATAGTCTTCCAAAAATGTCGCTTCTGAAGGGAATCCTTCCCTGACAAAATCATGTCATATTGTGTGGAGGGGCTTTTTTTTTTTTTTTTCTTCCACTGTGTCCCTCTTCAGGTGGACAGTAATCTCTATGAAGGCAAGCACTGTGATGCGCTGCCCTACCCACCAGGGTAGGTGTCTGATGGAGACAATTAATTAATGTTCCCCTGTGTTAAACTCTGATATTCTTGAGTGAAAGCTGCATGCTGTTTGGTGATTTTCCTATCACTGTATATTACATGGTCCTCAGCATATAGAAAGTACCTTGTTAACTAAATGTTGAGTGAATAAACTTACAGTGCCTACCCGAGTTCTCAGCAATGTTTAAAGGGAGTAACAATTTTGAGCCTGTAAAGTACACTAGACAGTATTTAGGTCAAATCTCATTTTCTTCTGGAGAAATTGAAGTTCAAGTGGGAACTGACTTACCCCAGTGTTGGATGCAGCTAGATTTTAGCTCAGGCCTTCAAATCCCTAAACTACTGGGTTATTCACAATAGCACACTGCTTGTTGCTTTCCTCAGCATCTAGGCAGCTGTTAGGAATGTTCTTGGGAGTGGTGGTGGTTGTGGCTGTAGTGGTAGATCTATTCTTATATTCTTATATTTGGGTGGAACTTTTTGTCTCTGAATATCTGATAGCCAGAAATCGCCATTTGTTAGGCAGTCACTTGGTCGTAGTCTCAGTTTCTACATCCAGCGAGTCTGATGCCAGCTTTATAGAATGGGAAATGAAGGCCTGGGGAAGGCAAGCAACTTCACTAACGTTTCTCAGCCAGTAAGCCATAGGTCCAGCTTTGAATTCAGGCACACTGACTGTTGTAGTCATACATGCTGTTTGGAAGCAGATCTGGGATTGGCGTTGTATACGGCCATCATTATTTTAATGTGTGTGCTAGATGATGATGATGATGATTATTATTATTATTATTTATTTTTTTATCATTTTGACACAAGCTGGAGTCATCTGGAAAGAGAGAACCTCAGATGAGAAACTCTTCTATAAGATTGCCCTGTAGGCAGGTCTTTCGGGGCATTTTCTAGATTAATGATTGACATTGGAGGCCCAGCTCTTTGTGGGCAGGACCTAGCCTCCATCCCTGGGCAGGTGGCAAACATTTCAGCATTGCCACGTGGACTCTGCTTCAGCTTCTGCCTTCGGTTTTCTGCCTTGAGTTCCTGTCCTGACTTTCCTTCATGATGGACTGTGATGTATAAGTCAAATAAACCCTCTCCTCCCCCGGTTGCTTTTGGTCAGTGTTTAATCACAGCAGCAGAGAAGCATCAGGACAGTGTGTCATTAAAATTGTTTTCATTAGTATGGGAAGATGAAGTTTTTAATGTGTAGAAATAGTAAATTAATTCACACTGATTATAACAGTATGAAATGGTGCGTGGCACTAAGCTACAGGATATACTCAAATAGATGTGTGAGTTCAAATAGAATAGTCAGCAATAATAAGTATGAATATTCGATGGCATTTTAATAGGAAGGATACGAATTCATATATATAATTCTAGAATCTAGACATAAGTCATTTGCAGCATAAAGACTGAGGGGAAAATTGGGAACACATGAGGAAAAATTGTTTTTGTTTGAGATAAAGTGTTTAAAAACAAACAGCCTTGCAGTAACCATCTCCTACAAGAATAGCTACAGATATCGAAAACTTGAAACAAAAACTCAGCAGTTTTTATGGATGCCTCAGCACCCCCCCCATCCCCTGGAGACTGGTGTTTAGTGTATGACCAGTATTAGGAGTGACCATAATTGCAGAGAGCTTAGAGAATTAAGAGCAGGGTTCATCAAGTGGCTTGAGATGGAAGAGAATGGCAGAAGCACAAGGGCTGGGTCCTGCTTTAGTGGGGGAAGTGGATGAGGTGATACCTCATACTTGGGATACTGTTACAGTCAACCTGGAATTAAATGTTGGGAAGTTCTTGGCATAGCCATTTTCACTTTTTATTCTCATTGCGTAGAGACCCTATTTTAATATAGGGATTATCAGTATAACCTATAAAGGATTTTGAAGTTTAATGAATTATGTTGCAGGGTTTGTATATGATCCTTTTTTTTTTTTTAATGAACTCATCATGAGGCTTCAGTTTCTTGGGATATACTCTAGCAAATATGTGTCTGATTTGGACTGTATTAGTACATCTACCTGATGAAAGGTCCTGTCCTAGTAGAGCTCAGATCCTGTGGGAAGAGGGATTGTAATGTACACAGTGAGTCAGTGGTACCCAAGAAGATGGGGAGCACAATGCTGAAAATAAGTCAAGCTAAAGAAAATGATGGTATGTGGCTGTAGCTTTAAATGATAACCTAAACAAGTAAATTCCCTATAGATAGACAAAAACGTGACTTCAGTAAGTCATTGCATTTGATTAATGCTTCTTAGTTTTGAAGCAGAGACATACCTGCAGCAGATATCTGCATTTTGTAAGTTATACTGCAACGTGCGGCTGGTAGTACTTTTGCTCGAAGTGTGTGGAAGGGTTTACTTATCTGTGCTAGAGATTGAATCCCAGTCCATTGCATACTAGGCAAATGCTCTACCGTTAGCTTATACCTTAGGCCCAGGAGCTAAGCATCTGAGTTCAAGTTACTATCTATGTTTAATTAGTGTCTCAAGCAAGACTGCAGCTTTGATCTCCAGATTTCTAGGTTAAGGCTTTTTTCTCAGCATTTTAAACGAGGGTTTTTTTGTTTGTTTGTTTGTTTTTTGCACTGAAACTGTATCTTCTAGAAGTTACATTAATTCACATTAGTTAGTTAGTTAATTAGTATTTGTGTATGTGTGTGGGTGCTTATGTGCCATGAGATGCTTGTGGAGGTCAGAGGACAACATATGGGAGTCAGTTCTCTTTACCATGTGGGTTCCAACGCAGGTCCTCAGACTTGGCAGCGAGTGCCTTTACCTGATGAGCCAAAAGTAGTTCTAAGTTTATGTTTGATTATTTTGTTCATAATACAATAGCTTCATAAACTGAATGTGATTGCTGTTATAGAAAAGTCCATGAGGGGCTAGAGAGATGACTCAATGGTTAAGAGCACTGGAAACTTTTCCAGGGGACACAGGTTTGGTTCCCAGCACTTACTGAGGGTTTCACAGCCCAGCCCCAGGGCATTCAGTGCCTTCCCCTCTCCTGTGGACACTGGCATGCACTTAGTGCACGTACGTGCATACAGCTCAAGTACAAAAAAAAAAAAAGCCTAAAAATTCAAATAAGAAGGTCCATGAGTCCTAAGTATCATTACTCTTTATTCTTGGAAATTGTATAAATATATATATTTTTAATGTGTGTATGTGTGAATCATTCCACCTTTATCTGACCTACAGGACCAAGCAGAACAATTCTTTAGAAGTAGACATACAAACAACTGGGCTGTCTTGGTAAGTATGCTCTTTAACAATGTACCTTGCTGTTCATATTAGATACATATCTCAAAACTTTTGTATTGTGAATTAAATTTTTGAAAATAAAGTTTCTTTTAAAATAAAAATTTTGATAGAAAAAGAAAATTCTCTTCCCCCTCTCTTTATCTCCTTCTCGCTTTCTCTTATTCCTTTTCTTCTCCCACCCTACCTTGTCTCTTTGAGATGGAGTCCTATGTAGCCCAGGCTGGCTTCAAACTCACTTTGTACCTGAGGCTGGCCTTGAATTACTGGTGTCCTTGACTCTACCTCCTGAGTATTGGGTTTACAAATGTGGATCACTATATCATAATCAGCAATTCTTTGTTTTCATTTTTATTTGTTTGTAAACAAATACAAGAATACATTTGAGGTGCTGTTGTTAGGAGAAACACTTAAAAAATGTAGAATTATTTTAATGCTTGAAATGGTAATTACATTTCTCTGCAGTACTAGTTTATAGATAACTCTACTTACGCTGTTTTAAAGTAGAATTTTTGTGTTTGCAATAAATGGTAATTGTAGAACATTCAAATCATACAGAAAGGTCTAAAAGCTGAAAAGAGGACAACTAATTACAGATCTGAACTTTACCTCAACTAAAAGGGGGGGAATGTTCCTATACCCCATGTTCTGAAGTCAGTATTTGGTGAAAGCTCCTCTCTTCATGGAGAAAAAATATACAGCATAGAGAGATATTTTCTATATTTGTGTATTACATGTTCCTCTTACTGGGGCCATCCTTAGTCAATACTTTTGCATTGCTTTACCATATCTTAGAGTTTTCATATTGGTAGATATAAAGGTGTCTTATCTTCTCCAAATGCTGTAGTGTTTTCTGTTATGACATACTGTATTTTTTAGTTTGTAGATATTGAGATTCTAAGTTTTTATTATTTTGTTTAGAGTTATGTTGAATATTCTTTTTGAGACTGAGGATCTCACTCAATAGCCCAGGCTGGCCCCAAATGCATAGCAGTCTTGCCCCAGCTTCCCCAAAGCCTGGATTATAGACATGTGCCTTTGCACCTCCCTGACTGTTCTTAAACATTCATATTTGTGAAACTTACTGGTTTTTCCTCAGGAGTGTAAGTTCCTTGACATCAAGAGTGTGGAGCTGTGGCACATGGCTGCCCTCTGAAAGTCAGGGCTTCTCTTTACGAACTCAACTTGCATCTCACTAGCTTTTTCCTGTTTCATTGGCGCACAAGAAATTAATGTTTGAATTTGCATTGTTTCATTTCTGAGCATGCTTTGCTTACTGTCCTAGTTTTTCTCTACCTTCCACCTCCATGTATGGTGTGAATTAATATCTTTAATATAGCTGGATCATGAATTCATTTCATTCCTCAGATAGAATACACGTAACTACTTTTTCTGTACATTGATCCTTTTTACTATCAGAATTTCACTTAATGGCATATGATTAGGAGAAAGGCTAAGTCTGCTTCAACAAAAGACAAAGGTTGTAGACTCTGTTTTCTGTTACTATGAAAAACATCTGAGATTAGGTGCTTATGAAGAACACAGGCTTGGCTAGTGTCCATCTTTGGATACTGGAAAGTCTGTGAACTGGCACCAGCCTCTCTGGGTTGTGGGTGCACCGTGAGGCAAAGAAAGTTTCAGGTTGGATCTTGTTTTTATGAAACCACCAATGCTATTTTGAGGACCTGGCCTGATGACTTCAGCTAATCTTCATTGCAGCCCAAGACACTATCTCCCAATCTCATCAATATATGAAATTGGGAGTTAAAATTTGAATACATGAAGTTTGGGGATCATTTTTAAGTAATAGCAAGGAACATCTGGGAGAAAGGAAAGGGGAGGGTAAGGACAGGAAGGGCCAAGAAAGGAACAGAGATGGTGTATCAGTATCATCTCATGCTGAAAAAGGAAGGACATTTGGCACCAGGACTTGGAAGAATATAGTGGGACCATAATGGAGTTGGAGAAATACATCCAAAGTCTAACAGAAACAGGAGACTAAGGACTTTGCCCAAGGCTTCACAAGGAGTGTGCTCAGGGCTGTTCTCTAAAAGGGTGGTGTTGTCTGCAGGTCACTAAAAATAGCTGAAGTGTAGTTGCAGTGAAGATTTGTGTAAATGCAGTTATGTTTTGATCAGGTAGACTAGGATAGCATAGGTTAACCCTGGGCATCCTTCCCACCACAGGAGACTAGGGAGAGATTGAACAAAAGATGTTGAAGACAGAAGAGAGGTTTGTGACCACAAAAGTGGCAATTATAGAGACCCAGGCTGTGACACACCTGCTAGAAAGGAAGAAATTATTAGACAAGGAGAGTGAGGGCTCTTCTAAGATTAGTCACTGAGAAAAACTTGTAGGTGAGTACGATATAGGTGCTGTGTGTCCCAATTGGCACACGGCTCCCTTTGGAATATAAAGCTGTTAGCTTAGGCCATACAAATGTTAAAGTCTCAGTGGCTTGGGTTCACAGTAAGGTGGGAACAAGATTCTAATGCAGTGTGAGATTGGTGTTATTGGAGGTTTTTTGTGTTCTTTGATGTTAAGCCTGAAATGCTTTCTTTAGGCATTTCTTTATAGACTTTAAGTGAAATAAATCTGTAACCCATGGTTTGACTCATAAAATCATGTTTATTTTTTAACTCTAGGTGTGCACATCCCGATTCTGGTTTAATTACCGACATGTTGCAAATACTCTTTCTGTTTACAGAAGTGTCAAGAGGCTAGGCATTCCTGACAGGTAAGCCATCTCATCCAAGTTTAATTTGAACTCTTAGGTGAGTTGCTTTTGAAAGAGGTAAAGAACCCTGATTTCCCACTTTTGTTGTTGCTGGACATAGTGTAGCTGTTGACTTAGGACCACAGTGGCACATACACATGTGAGGAGAATGAAACGTTAAAGTAATAGGATTAGGTGAAGTGTGGGTGTTTAGTGTTGTTTATTACTTGCTTTACTTGGCGTTTTTACAGGTTACTATTTTAAGCAGAAAAAGGACTGATTGAAAGCATGTTGATTTATTCACCAGACTCTTGGGAGAGCTGTAGCCTTAGCTAATCAGGAACCAGAGAAAGAGTCTAAAAGGAAACTAAAAACAACGATACAGAGCAGTGTGCACATGCACAGGCCTCTGCACATGCTGAAGCTGCTGCAACACAGGTCAGGGATGTCTGTGGGAGCCTCATGCTTTTCCTGCCTCCTGCTGCCCAGACCCAGCCTTGGCACCCCAGCATCTTACTAGTTAGGAATGCCAGGCTGGCGGGAGAGCTCAGGTTCACTGTCTGTGTCCATGCTGCAGGGTAGAAGGATGAGTGTGTGGCGCTGTGTTTTCTATGTCGAAAGATGGCCTCTGCCTCTGCCTCTGCTGAGTATCCCTGAAGTGGGCCATTTCCTACCTGGAGGGAGTCAGGTACCTTTACCTAGACCATGAACTTTGGTTTATTATGGTGAGTTTGGTTTTGTTGCAGAGGAGTGACTGCAGAAGACATAGTTGTCTCAGTTTAGCATTGATATACTCAAGTGCCCGTGAGGAAGGGGAGTGTGCAGTGTGCTTTGCAGTGAGACAGGGGTTGTGATATCACCCGACTAAGCATTTGAGACATAGTGCTAATATAACCACTGCAACTCAAACCACTGCAGGGTTTGAGCAGAAAAAAGAGATCGTAAAGTGCTGCAAAGGCAGAAAGGACACTGCATGGCTCGGGAGACAAGGCAAGTATCTTCCATGTGAACAGGTCATGTTAGGCCAAGAAAACCACAGAAGCACAGCTCAGCTCTTGTGTATATTCCATCCCATCTAGAAAGCAAAGCAAACAGATGATTCTTTTGTTTTTAAAGTAAATTAAGTCTGAGAGCGAGGTTGACTTGTGTCAGGTATGCAGGTTTAGTTCTTTTGTGCTGTTGTGTCTTTCTCAGATAGTTCTTTGATTTGTAACCATGTCCTCTGTCCAGAGGCTTGAGCTGTATGGTTTCATAGGAATTTTTACTTCAGAAAAGAAGTCAGTGTGCTGTATGGTCAGTCATTGGGACACATTGCCATGGCCTGAGTAAGATTTGCAGAGTCCTTGAAGAACATAGCAATTGCACGTAGTAACTGTATGCTGTTTGGTAAGCTTGGCCTTGTGTTTCTGAAGGGTTTCTTTTGAGGTTATTTCTGTTTCAGATGCTTGTTTGTAGGCTCTGTTTTATGTAGCCTTTGTTCTAGACATGAATTGGGGATGCAGACAATGGTTATTTCATACTGCTTTTTTTTTTTTTTTTTTTTAACAGAGAAATTAACAAAAAGATGGTTTTGTCTTTAGCTTAGTATGGTAAAGTTCCTTTATGGTTATAGCATTTATAGTTACAGAATTCTTTTATTATGCATTGTCTCACTCTATCTTTTACTACTCTTCAGAAATTGGTGTATTATGCATGTGATATCTTAAAAGGTACGTGTGTAGATCTACGGCAGTGACTAGTAGTCTGGAAATGTATGAGGTAACCCTAAGCAACACCTCGATTCTCATTTGCTTTTTCCTGAAGATGCTGCTGCTGCCTGGTTTGCTTCTCCCTCATGCCCCTGCCTTCCTGCTGCAGTGTCTCGGCAGGCTCTGTAGATGTACCATTTGCTGTTCCCTAACCCCCAAACACAAGCCTCCCGAACCTGACATGTTTGCTGTGTCCAGAGGAAACTTCTGAGCTTGCCCTTTTGTGAGACTGGGGTGAAACAGGTGTGCTCGCATGAGTGTCTGTGAAGCATCATTGATTTCCTGTGCAGAGCTGGGGCCCATCTGCAGGTACTTCAGTCTGCTCTGAAATCTGGACCATCTCTTCCCTTTCCAGCGCATCCTACACACAGCTGTTAGAACTAGCTTCCTCAGACACTGCTTTCATCATTTCACTCCCACGGGCACTGTGGTGAATCTCTGTCTGCCTAGCAGACCAGAACAGTTCTAGCTTTTACTGTTGCTTTGTTTGTTCTGACTCACTGTGTTCACTTTGTTAACTTGTTTTGGTTTCTGTGGCCTAATATTTGGTCATTCATTTCTAATTTTGACCATTTATACTTAAGTGTCCTGTGTTCACTTCCCTATTCACCTATCTCATTGTTTTCACTGCGAAGAATACTCTCTATATAACGTCACTCTGATTTTTGTTAATCAACTGAGATGTTAAAGCCATTCTAATTATTATAAAAAAATAAAGTCAGTATGTTTATAGTGTTAAATTTTTGTTCCATGACTAGTTTATGCTTTTATTTTATTATGCACAAACCATCACTTTAACAAAAGTAATGGAATTATGTAAATATGTTTTGTAAATAGTTTCCAATGTGCGGCCATAGTTACAAAGAAGCTAATTTTAGCTCATGCCTTTGAATGTTCTTTCTCTTGTCTCAGTCACTTTCTAACAGTCTTTTTCTCATGTAGTCCTTAAACTTGTAAATAATGATGTTTGAATGTAGATACTGAACAATCTGTCCTTTTCATTCTAGCTTTGGCTGCTGATCTGTCTCACACCACCTTCATGCTGTTGTGTTTAGAAAACAAGAAGCATCAGTTTGCAAGCCTCAGAGGACCTCAAGGGCTTCTGCAGAGCATGAGGGAACATTCTGTCTTAATTTGGAGCTGGATTGAGAGGTCTTGGCATGCTTATTCCCTCACCAATACCACAGTGTGTCTGTTACTGTCACTGTCCTGTCTGCTAACCTGATTTCTCTGCTCTTGTTCTTTAGAATCATCTGTTCATGGATCTTGCCCTTTCACATGAGCTTTCCTGTGTGTGTGGTACTGGAGGTGTGCCCATGGCTAGCTAGGCAAATGATTTGTTACTGAGGTTTATACCCAGCTCCACCATATCAACGTATTCTCTGAGGGAAGCACCACTATTCAGATATTCATGTTTTGGATGTTATCCTGAATAGAATAGTGGGCAGCTTGCTCTCTCTCCCCCCTCATCTCTTCTCTCTCCACACACACACAATGTATTTCAGTCCTGTTCAACCCTCTATCCTCTTTTATTTCTCTTCCTCTCCTACTGAACCATTTCTTCCTAAGTAGTCCCCATCTGCTTTCTTTTTGTGAGGAGGGTTTTTGTTTTTGTTTTTTTTATTGTTGTTTGTGTTTTTTTTTTTTCTTTTACCAGAGGACAGATTAGCAACCTACCAGTGGCTGTACCATTTAGTTAAACGTCTCTTCCTCCTTCAGCAAACATTAAATGCCTGTTAATCCTGAGGAAGGAGGAGTGGGCTTCATGAGTCTTTACCCCAGCCATGGCAGAATGCTGATACACTCAATCATGTGCAGCTAATTACAGCTTCTGTGACTTCATGAGTGCAACAGTTATGTCATGTCCGAAAACAGCATTCCACAGTGTTCCTGGCATTTACATTCTCTCTCTCTCTCTTTTTTTTTTTTTTTTTTTTTTTTGAGATTGGGTTTCTCTGTGTAGCCGTGGCTGTCCTGGACTCACTTTGTAGACCAGGCTGACCTCAAACTCTCAAGTGCTGGAATTAAAGGCATGCGCCACCACACCTGGTGAGGTTCTTAGATTCTTTTTGTCCCAGTCTGTGATGTCATCCCTGAATCTTGGAAGGGTGTTCTGGTTATTTTTCTTTTGTGAGTTTGACACCAGCTATAGTCATCTGAGAAAATGTAGTCATCAACTGAGAAAATGTCTTTTTAAAAAAAAATTATTTATTTTTTATTAATTACAGTTTATTTACTTTGTATTCCAGCTGTAGCCCCCTCCCACATCCCCTCCCAATCCCACTCTCCCTTTTTTCCTCCCATGCTTCTCCCACAGTCCACTGATAGGGGAGGTCCTCCTCCCCTTCCATCTGACCCTAGCCTATCAGGTCTCATCAGGAGTGGCTGTATTGTCTTCTTCTGTGGCCTGGTAAGGCTGCTCCCTCCTCAGGGGGAGGTGATCAAAGAGCCAGCCACTGAATTCATATCAGAGACAGTCCCTGTTCCCCTTACTAGGTTACCCACTTGGAAACTGAGCTGCCGTGGGCTACATCTGTGCAGGGGTTCTAGGTTATCTCTATGTATGGTCCTTGGTTGGAATATCAGTCTTACAAAAGACCCCTGGGCCCAGAGTTTTTGGTTCTGTTGGTCTCCTTGAGGAGCTCCTGTCCCCTCTAGGTCTTTCTATCTCCCACTTCATTCATAAGATTCCCTGCACTCTGCCCAAAGTTTGGCTATGAGTCTCAGCATCTGCCTTAATACCCTGGAGGGTAGAGTCTTTCAGAGTCCCTCTGTGTTCGGCTCCTGTCCTGTTCCCTGTTTTCTCCCTCTTCTGATGTCCATCCTGTTTGCCTTTCTGAATGAGGATTGAGCATCTTACCCAGGGTCCTCCTTCTTGATTAGCTTCTTTAAGTATAAAGATTTTAGTATGATTATCCTATATTATATGTCTAATATCCACTTATAAGTGAGTATATACCATGTGTTTCTTTTTGCTTCTTGGGTGCCTCACTCAGGATGATCTTTTCTAATTCCCTTCATTTGCTTGCAAATTTCATGATTTCTTTGTTTTTAATAGCTGAGTAGTATTCCATTGTGTAAATGTACAACTTTTCTGTATCCATTCCTCAACTGAGGGACATCTCAAGAAGTTAAACAGCAACAACTTAAGTAATCCAGTTAAAAAATGGGTTACAGAGCTAAACAGAGAATTCTTAATAGACAAATATCAAATGGCAGAGAAACACTTAAAGAAATGCTCAGCATCCTTAGCCATCAGGGAAATGCAAATCA